GGTGCGCGTATGTGGGATACATTTTGATAAGATATATTTTCAATTTTAGTTTTGTTTGCTAATTTCAGTTAGTTTTTTAAATGAAGCAACTACATAAAATTCTAAGTGTCAACTCCAGTCGAGTATATAAGCTTCTTGCTAGCAATGCGATGTTTGCTTGCGTTTGAATCGATTCAAATTAGTGATGAAAGAGACTCAGAGTCGTATTCTAGAACTCTACTCAATGCTCAAGTCAGGATTGCACTGGAAACAAAAGCACTGGAAATACGACCCTAATGGCAGGGACTTGACTATGATTTCGAGTGCTTTAAACCATACCCAAATCCTGACTTGAGCATTGAGTAGAGTTCTAGAATACGACCCTCAGTCTTTTAAGACCTTTTAAAAAACCTCGACTAATTCTTAACGCCTCACGACTAGTCTAATCTTTTAACCCTCAAGTCTTGAGTTATAAGACTGAAACTGAAGACTAATTCGAGTCGAAATCTTCTAACGCTAGGAAGCTTAAAAGACTTATAATAATAATAATAATAATAATAATAATAATAATAATAATAATAATAACGCACACACTCAACATAGCCCCGCACTAGGGAAACCCTGTGTCGCGGGTGCCATGGACACACACATAGACAACCACAAATTACACCCAAACTCACGAGAGAAATAAATGTAGGCCATACAAATATTTCTCCCGGCCCGGGAATCGAACCTGGGACCTCTGCGTGGCAGTCCGGCATGGTAACCGTTCGGCCACAGAGGCAGTAACTTATAGGACTAAAAAGACTAAAACGATTAAAACGACTGGCGCCTCATAGCCTCGGGAGTCGCGAGTCGTGAGCCGTGTGGCGTGATTTTATTTCTACCCACAAGGTATTTCTTTTACGATTTTTATTATAAGCAAATAAACGTGATTATTTACTACATACTACTTATGTCATTTTTATTAATAAACTTCGGGTTTAATAAGACATAAAATAGGTGTAAGTCCTTTGAAAACAACTCGAGTCGTTTCAGTCTTTCAAGTCGTTCAAGTCGTTTAAGTCTTTTGAGTATTTTAGTATGACGACTGAGTCTTATTAATAAAAACTCGAATTCCCAGTCTTAATTTTAGAGTCGAGTCCTGTAAAATTTATTTATTTAACACAATTCACTTATATTTACAGTTACACCAAACATGCAAGGAAAAATTCATTTAATTCCTATTAGCAGATAAAGCTCAATTAACATTATTATTTTACAATTACTGTTTACTTAACTTGTATAATATGTCATTTATTGACACGTTTATTTAATTAATTGAATATGTTTCATTAATTATAACATAGAATAAAATATTAAAAACTACTAACTATTGCAATTTCATGAAATTAATAAATTCATTATATTCCAAGTCTACATCCATTGCGATCAATATATAATAGATCTAGCCCTAGCAATGCTTTCAAAGTAAGCGCCCGCTGTGGATAGAAATTTGTTTTCTGAGTTGGCGAAAATACAGAACCGCGATCCAAACACAATATGTTTATGTAGTCATAATATGGAGTCGAGTCGTTATAAAACGCCTTAAAAGACTGAGTCTCTTCATCACTAATTCAAATGCGTGTTAAACTCGAAACTGACGAGTTTCGAACGCACTTTTCGCGCGTGTCTGTAACGCGTTTGAATCGATATAATCTCAACTATCTGGTTTTTGAGCCCCTACGGCGTAAACGCGCGTTCCTGGAACGCACGTCGTCGGCGCGTATAAAATATATCGTGTGCATAGGCTCTTATATTTCATGTTAAAGATAAATTTATTGGTATCCATAGCCATTTACATAATATAAACTGCTTCCAGGATATTGATCAGCACCTTCTAGATATAAGACGGAATTTTGACCTTTTTCAGAGTTACCATCTCGACCCCTCCTACGCGAGTATCGTATGTCGAAATTGCCAAGTTTACAGGGGAGCGTTTTAAAGTTTTGAATTCACTGAAATGAGCTTAAGACGTGAATTTAGCATTTCTCAATTTTATTCGTGAACGAGTTTTAAAGTAACGAGGTTTGCCGAATAAAACTGAGACATACTAAAGTCGCGTGTTAGGCTCATTAACGTGAATTCAAAACTTTAAAACGCTCCCCTGTGAACTTGTCAATTCTGACATACGATACTTTACGTAGGAGGGGTCGATCTATAGTATAGAAATTAGCAGTCCTTTTTAACCGACTTAAAAAAAGGAGGAGGTTCTCAACTCGACTGTATGTTTTTTTTTGTATATATGTTACGCGATAACTTCGGTATTTGTGAACCGATTTTCAAGATTCTTTTTGTTAGAAAGGGAGTACTTCCGTAGTGGTCCCATTTCATTTTGAAGAAAATCATCCACCTCTAATGGTGGCTGTTCACGCATGAATATTCATTTTTATAAATAGCGCCTAAATTTTCTTAAGGAGCAATTATTTTAATAGTTGATTTTGCTATTTCTCCAATTCAAGGCGTTTTTCTCTCAATATTCTTTGAGTAGTGAGAACCAATTTTTATTATCTCCAGTGTCAACTCCTGTATAGTGGCGAATTTAAGGATATTTCAATAAAACTTGGCAAATAGATGTAATTCCACGTACTTTTGAGGTCGGTTTTTTTAGTACTGATTTTTAGTTATTAGTCCATGACTGCAGTTTGATATCAACTAATATGAAACAACAGATGTACCTACTGTGCCTAATAGCTGTTATCATGTTGCAACATAATTCTTTTTTATGACAATTTTTTTTTTATTGCTATAATATTTATATATTAGTATAATAATAATAAAAAAATTGTTCATAAAAATAAATTACTTGCCGTTACTCTTATTGCTTTTGTATTTTTAAGTTACAACAAATTGATTTTCCGATTACCGCTGTTAATTTTTTTTTTCTATTTATGACTCTGAAAATACATGGTGGTGTAGGTAGGTTTATGTGTTACGCAGTTAACTAAATAACCTTTAAAATTTGCTTAGTATTTAAAAATTCGATAATCGTGTTTTTCAACTGGTTAATTGATAATGCCACATCTTCGTCAATCCCACAGTGTCTAAGAATGGAGGCATTCAACCAGTGCATTCTATGAGTTACGTAGTTTCCTATATCTATCTATATATCTATATATCTATGGCATGCGATGGAGCGAGCTATTCTTGGGGTTTATCTCATAGACCGAATTCCTAATATACGTCATACGTTGTCATACGTTTATACGTCAGAGGAGTGATTGAAATAGCTTGCAAAATCTTGACCTTAAGTGGCAGTGGACAGTGTTTGCAGGAGGGTTGATCGCCTATGGAGCAGACTTAGTCTTAGTTACTTAGTAGTAATAGAGCTCCTTGTAAAAGAGTTCGTCCAGGGTAGTATTGCCACCTTACCTATTTCTGCCGCCAAGCAGTAATATCAGCATTACTGTGTTCCTGTTTTGAAGGTGGTGGTGTAATTACAGACACATGGGATTTGTCAATTTATGTCTCAGGGTGAGTGGCGCAGTGGTAGTGCCCCTCAGATCTTTGCAATTTAAAGCTCTGAGTGGCACTGTAACTGTCATGGACAGGCGTGTAGCTCACCATCAGGCGTACTACTTGTTCGTACCGTCATTTGATGTTATAAAAAAAGACTTGTTCTAGAGTGGCAACCGCGTCAATGCAAATATAGTGTAGGACGCCCTACGGTAAGATGGATGGACGACCCGAGAAAGGCCGACAGTGGCTGGTTGCGGACGGCACAGGACCGGGAGATATGTCCAGCAGTGGATGCGTGTAAGATGATGAGAACAGATAAGCAATTAAACAGTTTTAATTAAGTTTTATTGAATGTCAGAATGTTTCACCATCTTCATATTCAATTATTTTTTGTGAATTTACTTCACTACAAAAAAAATTGTTTGTTATAGTTATTAAACAAAGATACGGTTGGATTCAAATCAACATCTCCCAGCAAACCGTGCCAGAGGCTATGTCAACTAAGCAAAGGAACGAACCAATGGACCTTTCGAAATGATCTATGTGTTAGTTGGAGATATTTGTTTTTGGTGTTTTAATGATCTTTTTGCCGTGGCGCCATCTGTGACCACCTTTTTTTTTTTTTTTTTTTACCTTTACAGCTACCAGCCGTATACTAGAGATGTCACTTTAATAATTGTAATTAAGTTTGTATGTTTCACCGCCATATTCAATTATTATTTGTGAAATTACTCCACTAGTTTGTTACAATTATTAAACCAAGATCACTTAGAAAAAAATCACTCCGATCCGATTGGATTCAAACCAAAGTCTACCAGCAAAACGTGCCAGACGCTATGCCAACTAAGCAATTAAATTATATAATTTGTTTATTTGCAAATGAAATTAGTATTAATATGTTACTACAAAGGTGGAAATACTCATCATTGGATATCAAATTCTTCAATTAATAGCACACGGGAAAATCCAAGTATGCCATGGGATTGCACGACTTAATTCCCCTTTCCATCACCAGGGGACTAGACGTAGCCTTCCACCCCTATGTTGTGGATATTCCAAAGATTCGCACGAAGCATTAGAGCCTTACCACAATGGCGATTTGCGAGCTTAAGCGAGGCGGCAGCGGCGGGCTCGCCGCGAGTTCTTTCAAATCGCTCGTGCGATAAGGCTCTTACGTTTTAACATTTATATGGCGTACGGCTACGGAGTGGCATTCCCTGCCATCAGATTTATTCCTTCTACGTTGTAACTTGCATAAGCATTATGTAGGTGTGCATGCTCCATTGTCAACCTCATCGTCACTTTTCATCTGGTGAGATGTGACAAAAGGATAAAACTCTAACTTAAACATTTTCAATCACAATAAAAACAGCCTGTAGTTTGCGACCATTTTAAAAATTACCCTTTTGACAATGTTATTACATGGCAATAAAAAAAAAACCATTCTTTTCATTATATTTTTACAATTAAGTACATCACAATTTGATGAATAAGTCGAGTATAAATGTAGTAAAATTTTGGATAAATTTTGTGATCGCCAGTCAAGTCGCAAACAAAACACTTCAAGTAAGTATTTTTGATTTTAATAAATTCAACTTCTTGAATATTAATCTGTTTAATATCAGACACATATTTGTCTGTTTGTCAAAGACGCAGTACGCGTATCACTGCTCACGTATACTGCGCTTCTAAGATGAAGGTCATGATACGCGCCGATGATAATGAAACAAATGTGGATGCATTTCATAAACTTAAAAATGATATTCACATTGACTTTTTCTGCAATTAATTACTTAGTGCTGCGTTTCTTGTTTTTATCCTTCTTGGCCCGTCGTTGCTTCAAGCCGTGGTAGCTTGATGGTTTGACCTACTGCCTCTCAAGCAGAAGGTCGTAGGTGCGAATCCGGGCTCGCACCTCTGAGTTTCTCGGAATTTATGTGCGAAATAGCGAAATGGCTTTTCGGTGAAGGAAAACATCGTGATGAAACCTGCACGGTGAAGAAGATTCACAACCCTCGGAAAACGTGTGAAGTCCCTAACCCGCATTGGCATTGCCAGCGTGGCGGACTATGGCCTAAACCCTCGTCTGAAAGGAAACCCGTGCCCAGCAGTGGGACATTTAAATGGGTTGATGATGATGATGGCCCGTCATTGGTTTTAGAGACACAAGGTGTCCTTAACGATTTTGGTAAAATTATTTCAATGTTTTTTGTTAGTTTATATAAATTGTTTCATAAGTATAAACATTTTTTAAATTGGAGGATGAAATTACCGTTACGCGTTAGAGACACCATGTGGCTCTAGAACGCTACAATACCAAAATCGTTAGGGACACCGCATGTCTCTAGACGCGTGACGGACGACTTGACAGTAATTCCTCATTAATATATTTTTTAATTACAGATTTTATTTTCAATTTTGTCTTTGGAAAATCTAACGAGTGTCGGAGAATGTAAATTAATATTGACTGCGACCAATTTCACACATAATAACTTGTCTTCGACAGACGTTTCGATCGCTTCCTTCATTAATGCTTTTCTGATTTTACTGGACAGTAACTTACTTTAATTTAACATTTTTACAGAATGAACTTCAAGAAGCTAGCCTCTTTGTTCGCAGTAGTAGCTCTTTTGGCAGTAGCCAAAGGTTACGACTATGCCGCGGACGCGACCACAAAGGCCGGTCGCTGAAATGTGGGTAACCACCAAGTGTCAAAATGAATAAATAAATGAAAATGGCACTAACACTTCTTTTATTTTGTTTCTAACCATTCTAATATTTTATTGTTTGCTCAAGAGCCACGCGACAGAGATCTAATACACCAGAATGACATGAACTTGACCTTAAATGTAGTACAATGTACGGCACATTCAAACCTTAGACATTGTCTTGAAATGAATTGATTATCTGTTGCCTTTTTCTGGGTTCACCCTTATGTCAATCTGGTTTAACGACCCTTATTATGATCGATAGTAGACGCGTGAACCGTCGTTGAGAACTATTTGGCACTATATAGCACTAGCAATTATGATACGCGTCTGTGATACGCGTTGGAGATCTAATATAAAACATGATTTTGGTTTTTGTTGTCGCGTTAGATGCAGTCACGAAATACATAAGAAAGTTATTTAATGTCAAAATCATAATTAACTATAAAATTAACTATGGTGTATAATGTTTATTTAAACTTCAGACAATGTCTTCAATCGATGACGAATTAGTACTAGCTTGTTCCGATTCCGTGTGCGAAACAATTATGATACGCGTCAGTGATACGCGTAGGAGGTCTAATATAAAACAATGCGCACTTGGCTTATGCTATTGCGTTATAGGAAATTCTGATACTATACAATGATATGTTCTCGTTCTTATATATGGTATAAAATAATATTATCCCTTTTGTCAGGCTATATTGTCCCTTTTGGCAGGTTCACGCTTGTATCAATCTGGTGTATAATATGCCACTATTGGTTAAGTAGCGTCTATGATACGCTTTAGAGATCTAACACAAAATAATGTGGACATTGCCTTTGCGAACTCTTCATGGCCAATGGTGACTGCAGACATCTTTACTGCCAAACAGGAAAGCTGGTAAAATTCCTTACTGTTGGTTTACCTTTATGTTACAAGTAATGTATAAATGTTTAACATAATCTGTAAAATAACTTTGTACGTAAAAATAATGTTTATTATAAGGTGTGTACTTCAAATTGCGAACAAATTGCTTTTTGGCTAAAGTTTGTCATTATTTGTATTACATAATTTAGAAGTCAGAAGTACAGGTTGTTCGTAATTTATTTAATTGTTAAGCGTTATCTTGAATGTCAGGATGTCTCGCCACTATGTTATTAAATTATTTTTTTGTGAAATTACTCCACTAGCTTGTGATGATTATTATTACAAAGATCGAAAATCGAATCTTAGAAAACTTAGAAAAAATTCCTTCGATCCGGCCGGATTCGAACCGACGACGTCTTTCAGCAAATCGTGGCCAACTAAACCACGGAACGATCCAGCGGACTTCACGAATTTTTCCATGTACACGTTGTCGGATCTTTGTATCTGGTTTTTAACAACTTTTTAGCCGTAGCGCCGTCTATGAGAAATCTATAGAAATATTTCGTTATTTAATTGTTACGTAACGTTTTTTGAATATCACTATCTTTTACTGACACGATATTCAATTATTACTATTTTGTTATATTACAATGTATTGTATTAATATGAAGATCAAATACTGAGGAAAATTCCTTCGATCCAGCTGGATTTTAACCAGTGCAGCGCCTTCAGCATACATGTTTGACGCTCTTCCCACTACGGAACAAACCAACAAACCTTACGAATCTTTCTAAGCGTTTGTTGACGATCTTTGTTCTTAATTTTGAATTTTTTGCCGTAGTGTCATCTGTGCGGAATCTACGTAGCAGAATGAGCATTACTGCGTTCCTCTTTTGAAGGGGACTTGTGTCTTAGAGTGACGAGCGCAGGAGTAATTCCCCTTAGATGATACCGAATTAAAGCACACAGTGGCACTGCAACTGTCATGAATAGGCGTATCAGGCTTACCAGCAGGCGTAGGATTTGTTCCTCACAGGGATGCTACAGATGTGGGGTATGCCGATGCGGACGTGGATGCGAATTTTTCCTCATTGAAATCTGTAGATGCCGATGCAGATGCGGATGTACGAAAAAAAATCATGTTTTTTCAGAATAAATTTGGATCACCGTGGATTTGGTGATCTGTTGAATTATTAATTTAAGTAAAAGAATATAATTTGACATAAAAATTATGAGATAATAGACAAAAGAGGGGAATGTTAAAAGGCATAAAAATATTACGACATTTATTAATACTTAAAAGTTTTTAAAGTTGTCGAGGGCCGTCCTTTATGCGAATAGAGCTGGGTTATCTTGAATAAAAGAAAACTCAACATTTTTTATTTCGAAAATATGCAGACATTTGCTTGCACCACACGTTGCCGAATACTCGATCTCTAATTGGTTAACAGCTAGCTAGCTACAGGTGAAGACTGAAAAACAGCAATACTGAGTTTTTAACTTTTTTGTCCACATCACTCAATTATTTTTTTGTATTCGTTTTTTAAGTTCCTTAAGTGTTGTGGAGAAAAATACCTGTTTATTTGTTTTTATACAATTTGCGTTTTGTATAGTACTCGGCACGCACTTTGAGTAGGGCCTGCTCTCGTGACCTGCAAAACATCCGTATTCCGCAAAAACTCTGCATAGAATGATTTAGTAGCACTGGAGCTCCTTGTGAAAGAGTTCGTCTAGGGAAGTACTGCCACCTTATCTATTTCTGCCGCTAATGTCAGCATTACTGCGCCCCAGTTTTAAAGGGTAAGTACTAAGTATTAAAAAAAACCTCTTTAAAGACTCTTATCCAGACATACCTCTATTTCATAGGCAAGCAAATAACACTTGAAATAATCACATTAATTACACTCAACCACTCATTCGTAACACAGATTCTCCTGAGAAGAATGAGTGCGATAGTCTAGGGGTTGCTCTTCGTAAATAAACATTTGTTGACAACCCGCAGGAGCTAAACGGGTCACTACTACCATTGACTTACTTACAAAAAAATGGACGACGGGTCTAATACAAAAACCACGAAAAAAATGTCCCAAGTCAACCTATTTAAACGTAGTGACATGTAAAGTAATATGAAAAAGCTAAAACGCTAGATTTAAATTGTAATGTCATCGCAGTACTGCCTAATTTTGCTTGCTTTGCTGTCAATCGAACAAACGAAGACTAAAGCGTGAATGACGCTCTGTATACGATTTTAACGCCCTATAAGTTCGGACACTTTTTAGCGCGGACCCGACGTCCATATAATTGTAAGTCAATGACTACTACGGATTTTTGTCATCCAAGTATACAAAACACACTTTTATTAACATGATAAGTTATTCGAAGGAAAAGTTATAAAAACCAGGTTGAACTTGGAAACGTTGCTGCGTTTCGGTTTCGAAGGGTGCTGGTGAAATTACAAGCACATGGGACTTGTCAACTTATGTCTTAGTGACGGGAGCAGTGGCAGTGCCCCTCAGATCTTTGCAATTTAAAAGCTCAGAGTAGCACTGCATCTGTTATGGGCAGGCGTGTAGCTTACCTTCAGGCGCACGAGTTGTCCGTCACGTCATACTTGATATTATAAAAAAATATATACATACGGTTGCCGATGCAAACGATGCCGTTAACGTGATCTAAGGAATCTTATTTTCAGGGTTTGAATAATTTCACATGTTACGTAACATTTTAATGTCCACGGGGTTTTAGGAGGTTACAAGGTACCATGTGAATGTATTAAAACTACTTTTCTGAACATCCTGTTTAAAGACATTATTTCACGTAAATAAAGTGTACATATTGGTATTCAAAATAACATTCAAATGATTACAATACACGTATATATATACAGCAAAGGTTGGTGATTTCATATCTTAACAAAGTTTATATTTAGTTAATATAAATTTTGAGAACCATCTCCGTGTTTCGAGTAAGTATTTATTTTGTTATTTGAAAAAAAAACTAATTTTTGTCCATGATTTTTTGCAATACACAATAAACTTACCAAAAATAAACTTTTTCACCTCACTAGTTCGGAAAGGTTCTCTTTCTCATTAGAAATCTGCGCCCAAAAGCGTTAGTTCCACGCTAGCTTGGAAAAGGTATTTAAAATTCGAACTTGACGATTTACTGTGGTGCACCTAACTTTTTCTTTCGGTGAAAAAAGAAAAAAGCATAATGACACGTTCAACTACGCGATTTGTCGTATATTATTTATGTAATATAAATTGACAACGATAACTAATTTTGTTTATTAAATTAATTTAATTCGTCGAAGAACTAAACTGATTTCCTATAGTTCAACTGTTTTTCTTTCATCTACCATTTTCTTCGCTACAGTGAAGTGAAAACTTGTGTGTTTCGCTCGGCAGCAAAGTTGTTTTGCGTCTCTTACGTTGAAACTCTCGCTACGCTCAGGATTCCATTTTTGAACAGTTTTTAATTGTGACTCGGCAAAATGACTGCACCGCGCCTGATGGAAAGTGCGAATACAGTCCAGAGATGAGAGTAACGGATGGAAGACACAAATATCTTCACTCCGTCACTATCATTTTGCCGGTCTGGCCAAATGCTTCTTCACACTACGTTTGAAGGACCCGATGTTATAGAGTAGGATCAAAAATAGAATCTTAGGACCTTCGCCTGCTGCAATACAAGCGCTCGCGTTAAACAACAACTTTGCGGCCTTGCTTACATAACAATTTAGATTTAGTTATACCAATTGACACCTTTTAGATTGATTTTGTAGTAAGGTAGTAAGTTCAAACGTGCAAGCGTCCTCCATTTGTGCGCTAGCGCAACCTTTTATTACCGAGTTGTTTCCGTTTAGAGCAATCTATTGAAATATCTTTATTTTTGTTTTTTGATTCGAATCCGGACCACACCTCTGACTCGGAATTCATACAAGTCGGAGAAGGTTCATAATCCTCGGCAAATGTGTGAAGTCCTCAACCCGCACAGGGTCAGCGTACTATGGCCTAAAAGGAGACCCGTGTCCAGCAGTAGGACGTATAAATGGATTGATGATGATTGTACGAAAGTAAATCTGATGAAAATTCATGAAACAAATGATGTTGGTGACATAGTCCTGCGAGGTTGTTCGGTTATAAATATTTGTGACTTGAATGGAATGACATTCATCTCTTGGAGTATGAGCCGGGCACTGGTGTGGGACGCAACGTGCGTCGACATGCTTTTTTTTATCGTCAGGAACTCCTCATGGATACCCTGCGCCCGGGGAAGAGTTATGTCGGACTCCTACCGACTGAAACCTGACGGTGTTCCATCTACTCACCATGTGCCGAAGTCACGGGGACGCTTACGCATTCTTCCGCGACTCCGACGGTGATTGGTCCGACTGGGCGCCGAACCTCATCCCGTTTTTCGGGGAGAGTTCTTGTCTCTCCATTCGCGTGCGATCTCCCGTAGCTGTCATACGCTTTGTTACTCTCAAACCTCGTCAGTTGCAATTCAGTCTGGTGATGGGAAAGAGCATCGGCATCGATATCGATAACTCGGTTACCTAGCATTATGGAGAAATATATCTAACTCCATCCCTTCACTGGACACCCTACGCACAAAAAGACCCGGTGACCCAGAGTTGGAATGGAAATATCCTAAACGTGCAGCACTAACTATCCAGTTAAAACTGGCTCAGCCTGTGAAGACATTCTATCGATTCAACAACCTACCAGGGGACCAAAGTACTTGTGCCACAAACTCGCAGCTTCGAAAAGCGACCTCTTCCATGAGAAAAACAAGTAAGAATCCACCTATTCACATTCAAATCAAGTCAGATTGGACCCATGAGTTTATGAAAACATTGGTTTCCCGATACACCAAAGGTTTCCATTTCAAATATCTCGCTAATAACAAGATATCTATTTGCTATCTTTCTGCTGATGAACACCGAGCCCTTCAAGATGGCTTACGATCCGAAAAAGTTCCCTTTTTCACTTATTCTCGAAATATGAACGTACATATACAAATGTAACATTCGGATTACCTATCTATGTCGAGGCAGACGTAACTGATGAATTAGCTAGCTTAGGGCATGACAAAGCTTCTACTCGGAAATTGAAGACTTCTGGTAATGATACATCACACTGCCCGCCCGTTTTGGTACAGCTACTACCCGGAGCTGATACAGCTGCATTCTTAAAAATCAAGTGCCTCAGTAGCTGCGCTATCCAAGTGCTATCCGCTGAGATAAAGAAGAGTGGTTCGGAAGTACGAAAATTAATTAGGAAATTGAAGGATGAGTGGTGGCTTAGAAAGACCGAAACAATTCAGTGGCTCTCTGACACCAACCAGCTCGGTGCTTTCTACGAGGAAGTACACAAACTGACTGGTGCACACCAACTGAATAGTGTACCGTTACTATCTTTAGATGGAGTTAATTTAACTGCTAAGAACGACGTACTTGACAGATGGGGAGATCATTTTGAAAATCTACTCCACGTTGGTCGATCAGCCGACCTCGGTCACATAAACTCTATTCCACCTTTGCCGGTGCGTATCGCGTTGGACGAGCCACTGACGCCAACCGAGGTAGTACAATCCATCACAGAGCAGAAGAACAAAAAATAAACTGTTGGTGTTGACAACATCCCTGGAGAATTGCTCAAGTATGGTGGAGAGCAGATACATTGTCATATCTGGCAAATGTTTAAGCGTATTTGGAGTGAAGAAAAAATACCCACTGACTTTAAGGTATCACCTATACAGACCATTTATAAAAATAAGGGGGACCGTTCCGACTGCAACTCTTACCGAATTATATCACTTCTCTCCGTGCCAGCAAAGGTATTTGCGAGAGTTCTACTGAACCAATTTATCCCAGTATCGGAGATCGGAAACTCAATTCGGATTTCGTCCAAACAGGGACACCTGTGAAGCAATGTTTTCCATACGTCAGCTTCAGGAAAAAAGTCGTGAGCAGGGGCAACCCCTGTATATGTGTTTGTAGACTTGGAGAAGGCCTTCGACTGTGTACCACGGGAGGCGCTATGGACCATATTGACAATGATTGGATGCCCTGATAAGCGATGATGCCGTGGGATGAGCAGTCAAGGTCCTTTTCTTTAAGCTGCGGTATCAAGCAGGGTTATGTTCTCGCTCCAACCTTGTTCGCACTGTACTTTGCAGTTGTGGTCGGAGAAATTCTAGAAAAGTCTTCTTGTGGCATAGGTATACGTTTCCAAACAGACGGGGGGATCTTTAATCTATCAAAGTTAAAAGTGAACACCAAACTTTCTCATGCAATTATTACGGAAATTCTGTATGCTGACGATCTATGCTTCGTATCAAACACTCCTCAAGGACTTCAGACCTTGTTGTCAGATCTTCATGAAGCCTGTTTCCGATTCAGTCTAAAAATTTGTGTGTCCAAAATTGAAGTTATGGCAATGAACCTGTATGGTGTCAATACTTCAATTGACATATTTTTTGGTGAGATGAAGCTGAAGCAGGCGGATAAGTTTAAGTACTTAGACAGCACTAACACATCAATGTGCGACCTTGGTTCTGAAATAAACCACCGAATTGCATTAGCAGCGGCTGCTTTCGGAAAAATTTGATCCAAGGTGCTGCGTTCCCACGATTTCAGGTTGTCCACAAAGATTTCCGTCTACTCAGCGATTAACCTTCTCTATTCTTCCGAGAAATGGGTACTATACCTCCGCCAAATACGCACGTTAGATATATTCCACATTCAATGCCTGCGAGACATTCTTAACATCAAGTGATCGGATCGGGTAAGAAACACCGATGTGCTTCGGCGGGCGAATGTTTTTGGCATAGAGGGATATTTAATGCGGCGTCAGCTACGTTGGTGTGGACACGTCTCGCCCATGTCTGAATCAAGAGTTGCGAAGCGTATCTTCTTTTCTGAATTCCAGAATGGCAAGCGGAAGCAAGGCGGCCAGTTCTTGAGATACAAAGATGTTCTGATAAGACACATGAAAAGTTGCAACATTGACCCCTCGAGAGATGTAGTCGAGTTGCCGTTGTGGGTGGCGGCATTGTGAAAACTCAGGTGACAAAATTTGAGGAGCAGAGACTGTCAGACCTGGACGCGAAACGTGATGCTCTCAAGGCTAACACACCTGCAGCCATCCTTTATTAATATGTTGACGGTGTCTTTATGTGTCGCCACTGTTTGCGAATAATTACCAATAAGATTGGCTACTGTAGCCATCTAAGGGCACATGAAAGAGCAAACAACCGCAGCTCTAATTCTAAATAATAGTAGTCGCTGTAGCAGAAACCGGCTAGGACATAAACACACACATATACATTTTATCCAAAAAACGAATAGACTGTCTGGGAAACTCAAGCGTCGGCAGCATATGTCCAACGCATTAGCATAGCCATACACAGGGGGAACGCTGCCAACATCTTGGGCACCTTGCCGCGGGGAGTCAATTTTATTCGTATAATTTAATCTTTGTTGTAGTATGTAGTATTTAAGCTTTAATATCCTATGTACATATTTTAACTTATTGTCCAATAAATAATTACTTATGTATGAGTTCATTATTAAGTTATCTTTACATTTAGTCATAGTTCAACAGCTTTATTGTTGTAATTAATGTACCATTGTCGGATACCGCCTATTAGATTTCAAAATTTATTGTTTATTCCATGGGAGAGTTTTTAAAATCATTACATAAGGAGGGGTTTTTTATTGATTAGAAAATGTCACCCCCATATTGACAGGCTCCTTAAACAAATGATGTACCGTCTTCACTTAGTTCCCACATCAACTAATCTATATAACAATTTTGCTTCCTTTGATTTTGGAAGAAAATGTTACGTATATCCAATTTTGTCAAATTGCATACTAAACTATAAGAAATTTCCCTTCTTTCGGCTCTGTTCCGTACACACTATGGGAGAGTCTAAAATAATAAAAATAATAATGACGCTATATATACCAATTGCCAGGTCTCAAAGTTGGAAATTCCCTATAAATACAATATAATAATAATAATAATGTATCAATTATCCATACCAGCCACCACCACCAGCGGACGTCACGAATTTTTCTATGTGCTTGCGTTGTGTCTTTGTATTTGGTTTTTCAACGACTTTTTAGTCGTTGCGCTATCTATGAGAAATCTATGAAAGATTTATCACCCAGTTAGTACCTTTACAGCTACCAGTCCTGGCGAGAGATGTCGCTATTCACTGTATTTTAAATTTTTATTGAATTGATATTAAATTTTTTTTTTTTGAAATTTCTCCACACTTTGTTATAATTATTAATACAAAGATCGAATACTCAGAAAAAATTTCTTCGATACGGCCGGAATCGAACCGACTAGCTTACCGTGCCAGACGCTATACCAACTAAGCCACGGAACACTCAGAAAAAAATCCTTCGAATTTTTCTTCGAACTTCGAAATGGAAGGTCTGCAATCTCTCCCGTACTCGTACAGTCTAAACCGTCAACTCTTCTTGGTGGTACTGACGACACAGTTTCAGAGATGAGTTCCCGTTTCTTCTTCCTCCCCCTAACTGCCTGAGTTGTGTAGCAATGAGTCGGTTAGCAGCAAATACAAATACAAAATGCTTTATTTCTCTCAGAAAGGTCTATAAGCAGTTAGATTTATATATAAGAACAAGTTCGTTAGTGAGAGCAGGAGTCTACTAGGTTGGGGACCTGTGTTACAGATCTCCAGACTCACTCCCTCTATCTGTATGATTACATAACAAAATAAAGCGTAGCATATAACAAGAAAACAGTGTGTGTTCGTGCATAAGTGCGTGCGCGAGTGTGTGTGAGTGAGTAAGCGCGCGCGCGTGTGTGTGCGTATGTATGTGTGTGTATATGCGTGTGTAAGTGTGTGTGTATGTATGCGTGTGTGTGTGATTTAAACCTAATCCGATACGATAAGTAGTTTTTCAGTCGACTCATAGTCGAGAGTGAATAGCCAGTTTGTAATAACTTTCTTACATTTGCTCTGCTCAAAGGGTGAATATCAAGAACACTGTTAACATAATATAATAAAATCGCAAGGAAGCTGAGTCAGTTAGTTTTAATATTTTAAAATAAAACTCAGTACTAATCGTTACTTAGTTTCCAGAATAAATTCAAAGAAGTCTATATCTATACAATAGTGTGTCTATACAATTTATTGCAAAGTAACAAATAAAAAAGTATAGCATTAAGAAACCTTCGATTTGTTATTTTTCAATGATACTTTATTGTTTTCATCAATTTTCATAATTAATAATAATAATAACGCACACACTTAACATAGCCCCGCACTAGGGAAACCCTGTGTTACGAGTGCCATGGACACACATATAGACAACCATAAATTATGCCCAAACTCACGAGAGACTTAAATGTAGACCATACGAATATTTCTCCCGGCCCGGGAATTGAACCTGGGACCTCTGCGTGGCAATTTTAATAAAACATTCGTAAAATGTTGTTTAAATAGTTTTGCATTTCTTTTTTATATTATATGCATTTTATTTAGACTCATGTTGGAGATTCAGACTTTGTATTTTTTCTTTTATCCAAATTTTTTTACAACATCAAGTGACGGGACTACATGCCTGTCTATAACAGTTACAGTCCCACTCAGAGCTTTAAATTGCAAATATCTAAGGGGCACGCACACTACTGCGCCCGTCACCCTGAGACATAAGTTGACAAGTCCCATGTGCCTGTAATTTCACCTGCCACCACCAAGTGTCGCCATCTACAGTTTTAAACAAGTACTAAAGTTAATTTCTATAAATTGTTACCCTATGATAATAATGCTAAGCTATATAATAATAAAACGTTTCTTTTTCAGCATGAACTGCAAGATACTAGTATGCCTGTTTACATTATTTGCATTGGCCGTCGCAGCATACTTACCCGACCATGACCACGTGGCCAAACTCCGTTCATACAACTCCAGGACCGTGAACGTGGCACAACTTCGTGCACGTGACAGTCGCGGTGACAACCGTGGTGATAACCTTCGTTCATATGACGCTAATAATGACAACGAGGCAAGACGCCGCAGCTATTATCAGCGTGGTAACCAACGTGACAATCTCGAGTAAACCAAGAGGCAACAACCTCTGGTAACTAATCATAAAAATACCACTAATAGTGAAAATATATTAACTACGATGAATAAATTTGTCTCATTAATTTCATGGTCACCCTTCACACCCTCAATGATAAAGTCACGAAATACTTTCATAGATTTCTCATAGATGGCGCTACGGCTAAAAAGTCGTTGAAAAAAACCAAAAACAAAGATTGTCGGGTGTGGTTGTCGACCACCACATAGAAAAATTCGTGTAGTCCGCTGGTTCGTTCCGTGGCTTAATTGGTATAGCGTCTGACACGGTATGCTAGAAGACGTCGGTTCGAATCCGGCCGGATCGAAGGAATTTTTTCCGGGTGTTCGATCTTTGTATTAATAATTATGACAAAGTGATGTTAATCGAGAAAAAACATTTTTGGGAAGTAACAAAATATATTTATGTTTATATAAAATGTATCGTACGAAATAAAATTAACATATAATCTTTCGGATCAAACAGAATTCATTTATATTTGACACTAGCCAAACGGCGTAATTCGCTGCGTTGTGCAGGTTTAGTAGCAGTAGAGCTTCTTGTGAAATCACATGCTTGGCCACAATCTCACCTGATGTTAATAAAGCGACGATGTGACTGACGATGGTACGCGTTGACCTAAAACAAGCCTATTGACTCTAGCTTTAAACAGCCCCAAATTGTATTTTTCGGGAAACACAGATGCCGTAGAGTATTTCATTCTTTCGCCATACGCATCAGAAAGGAGGAAGCAAAGCTCTTGGTGCGAATGGGAGATATATCAACGACATAAGGATGGAGTGTTCCGGAACTTTTATTCGACCGAAGGAGGAACAGTGAGGGTGGAACTAACGACCGAAGGAGGAACAGTGAGGGTGGAACTAACGACCGAAGGAGGAGCAGTGAGGGTGGAACTAAATTGAAAAGCTCCTGCGCACACTCCCCGAAATATATCCGATAGAAAACCGATAAGCAGGCTACTTTTCTGCGATTGTCGAGGTTTTGCAGCTGCGACTCCAGAAGAGAGTTGTTATTAAGTATCTTTGCACTTCGCTCCACCGAGTCCAAGGCAGCTAACTGATAATGGGCAGAGCCGTCCCGAAGGTGGCCGCAGTACTCCAGGCACGTTCGAACTTGTGCTTTATACAGATTTAAAAGCAATTTAAAGATTTAAAAGACTTAAGAGTTTGTCCATGGAAGTACTGCCAACTTACTTTATAACTTGCCTGTCTTAGGGTGACGAGCGCTGTGGCAGTGCCCCTCAGATGTTCTTTTTTATAATATCTAGTGACGGGACTAACAAGTCTGCGCCTGGTGGTAAGGTATACGCCTGTCCGTAACAGTTGCAGTTTCACTCGCAAAGATCTGAGGGGTACTGCCACTGCGCCCTTCTCCCTGAGACATAAGTTGATAAGTCTTATGTGCCCGTAATTACACCAGCACTCTTCAAAACCGGAACACAGTAATGCTGACATTACTCTTGGCGGCAGAAATAGGTAAGCTGGCAGTACTTCCCTGGACGAACTCTTTCACAAGGAGCTCTACTGCTACTAAATCTTTTACCATACAAAGCTTTGGTATCATACAAAGGTAGTTTTAACCCCCGACGCAAAAGGAGGGGAGTTAAAGATTTGAAGCGTTTGTCTGTGTATCTGTTAGTTGCATTGCCCACTCAGAGCTTTAAATCGCAATTATCTGTACGGCACTGCCACTGCGCCCCGTTACCCTGTCACGTAAGTTGGTAAGTCCCTTACGCCTGTAATTTCACCAGCACCCTCACCCCGGTAATGCTCACATTACTGCTTCATGGCAGAAATAAGTAAGGTGGCAGCACTGGACGAACTCTTACACAAGGAGTTATACTGCTACTAATCAGAGCCGGATTTATATTTTTTATGAGTGTAGGCCACTTTATTTCCGCCGCCCCATGTACATACCTTTCTAAAATAATAATATTCCATTTGTAGTAAAGAAGGCCTTAAAGTTAAAAAACGAATGAATTAGTCATTAACAGTGAGCGTAAAAAAGAAAAAAGATATACAATTTTTTACGGGACTTTTTAATAGAAAAATCATCTATAATATCATCATAGTTAATGGTGTTCATTATGTCTGCTTCTATGTAGAGAAGAGCTAGAGAATTCATTTTTTCTTGAGACAATGAAGACCTTTGATAAGCTTTCACGCGTTTTAAACAGGAAAAACTCCTTTCCCCAGAACAATTTGTAGCCGGAATGGAAAGCGCAATTCGCAGAGCTATATCCAAGTTAGGGTAAACATTATGCAGAGATTGATTCCTCAAAAACGTTGAGAGAATCCCTATAGAAATATAGGGATTTATATAAGGTATAAAAAACCGTGAGAAACCCAGTGAACATGTTTGACTTTTGTCTCCACTGAAATCTGCCGCCCCTAGGACGCTGCCGCCCCTAGGCCGCGGCCTATACGGCCTATTTATAAATCCAGGACTGCTAATCAGTTATCGCGGTAATAGAATTAAAATCACTTTAGATTTCCGTGTTTGTGATTTTGGTGGTTCTCCTTCCTTAACCTTCAAATTTGAATACAGTACTGATGCCAAGAAATAGAAATTTCCATGATAATTTAGGATTAGTGAATTTTACTATTATTAGCGTGTATTCGTACCGAATCCGAGACCCACTTCGGATGTCGCTTGTGCACTAAGTCCGATTCAAATCCGAGAAAATATCAATGTCGCTTGTACAGCTAGAGATAAAATGATCCTTGTGACATTTCGGACCATCATTTTTCAGATTCGGAACTGATACGAATTGGAAGTAGTGCGCAAATAGTCTTAGGGTCGTATTCTAGAACTCTACTCAATGCTCAAGTCAGGATTGCACTAGGGTCCTGCCATTAGGGTCGTATTTTTAACTGCCTCTGTGGACGAACGGTTACCATGCAGTTACACTGCCACGCAGAGGTCCCAGGTTCGATTCCCGGGCCGGGAGAAATATTTGTATGGCCTACATTTATTTCTCTCGTGAGTTGGGTGTAATTTGTGGTTGTCTATGTGTGTCCATGGCACCCGTGACACAGGGTTTCCCTAGTGCGGGGCTATGTCGAGTGTGTGCATTATTATTATTATTATACCAGTTTTCTTAGAAATTCAACAAAAATTTCCAGTGCTTGAAATCATACTCAGATCCTGACTTGAGCATTGAGTAGAGTTCTAGAATACGACCCTTAGACTATTGTAAAATGGAGAAATTAGATAAATTATTAACAATAAATGTGCTAGACGATTACATCAATTCTAAGTAAATTTCCTATAACTGGGTATCAGGGTAACTGAACTCTATTTCGAACAACCAGACTGGAACCAATTTGGAAACGTATGCTCCCTAATTCGATTCCTGCTTGCATCACGGACGTAGCCCGATACGATCGTCATTGGAAATCAAATTCTTGGTACGTCTGTCTGACAAAATAAAGAAATTACTACTGTACATTTTAGCGTTGCATTTTGAGTATTTTGCTTTTAATCACAATAATTATTGCAATATTGTACATCTTGGTTTGGTATAATAACGCGTTTGTGTGACGTGTAAGTGATAATTTTGACATTCTATGTACTTATTTTGGTCTGGATCTTTTCAATACGAGTATGATTCCGGCGAGGAGAGCACTGAGTGGGCATTTCTTTGACTCATAGAGAGGCTTGCAACTGAGGTTGTAGGTTTATGTTTTACGTAATAAGTTATGGTTTATGCGTTATCGTCGGGGATAGTACAAATCCGCGTATGTAGTATTGGTACAGGTACATGAGAGGGATTTAACGTTACTACTTCGTTATATCAATGTCTACGATTTTCATGTTAGCACAGTAAGCTTTAATTTATGTTGTCTACGGACTGATAACCATAGATTTTATTTGGTGACAAAATTACCGAAATTGAGACTCATTATCAAATGCTAGTTACGCGTAATTACACTATGCCCGAGGGTATGTTAGTTAAATTGTGCATCCTTATTATATTTCTATTTATGATGTTGTTACAATTATTATGCAAGTTAGTTTTAAGCTGATGGTCTACCTTTATTAGAAATAAAGAAATAACATGTCGGCTTCTGCACAATCTGTGTTTTCACAAATAAAATTGTTTTATGAATTACCGCTTTTCCATAGAGAAGTACCAACAAAGCACTGAGAAAATTCATTGGTTTGTATTGAGCAATTTATAGCGAATAAGCATGGCATAAAGCAATGACATTAGTGTGTGTGGTATTATTTGAGTACTTTTCATGAATGGGCCAAGATTTAAATCCAACTCTATGGCTCGTGCTATAAGAGCGGTCCAAAGTCCATATTGAAAAATAATTTTAAACAACAGAAATTGATATTACGACATACATAAAGTAACAAGGCATGATAATTGTTGTACGGTGGAAACAATCATATAAAATTTTACAATCCATAAATATGTAAGTATAAAAACAATATAAAATTGTTTTTTGTGAACCTTCAAAAACAATATTTTGTACATGACTTATTATAAACGACGACCTCGATGGGCCAGCGGTTAGCACTATGCTAGATGAAGAGTTTCCGGGTTCGATTCCCGGTAGGACTATTTAGGAAACGAAGTTGATGATTATCACTAATTACAGGTACGACTTATTTTATAACCGACTTCAAAAGGGGATTACTTCGGCACTTGTGAAAAGATTTCTTGATTTTTTGTTGAAAAATATTCCACCTTTAAAAGCCTTTGAAAACGAGCACCGTCACCTATAAACGTCTGCAACACCAGGGGCGTCACGAGCGCGTTGCCAACCTCAAACCCCTTTTCAAGGACTCCATGCTGCAAATTCGGGGATGAATCCAGTTTATTGTTCCCGTTGACCAATTTCAATTAAACTTGGCATGTAGAAGTAATTCCAAGGAAAGTGCAATCTTATGGTGTCATGGTGTTAGAGCTGATGACGGAAATGCAGATAGATGAGAGGAACTCCTCAACAGTGTACGGCAGCGTGTGTTTGGGCTCATATTATTCGTTTTAACTAGGACTTCCATACCCGCTCACGCGATGCGCTCATCCTACCGCAAAATGG